CCTCATGAGAAGAGAAGACTCCCTGGAGAAGACACTGATGCTGGGAAAAATGGAGGGCATAAGGAGAAGGGGGCGACAGAGGACGAGATGGTTGGATAGTGTTTTCGAGGTTACCAGCATGAGTTTGACCAAACTGCGGGAAGTAGTGGAGGACAGAGGTGCCTGGCGTGCTCTGGTCCATGGGGTCACGAAGAGTCAGACACGACTAAACGACTAAACAACAACAACTCGAGTATAAGCCAACCCGAATATAAGCCGAGGCACCTAATTTTACCACAAAAAACCGGGAAAACTTATTGACTCGAGTATAAGCTGGTTTACCACACCACAAACCTGGTGGTGGTGGCAGCGGCAGAGGAAGAACAAAAGGGCTGCTTTCAGGCTGCTTGTTCCTCCTCCGCCACCGCCAACAGCGGCAAAGGTGGAGGAGGAGGAAGGAGCAGCCTGAAAGGACCCTCACTTGAGTATAAGCCGAGGGGGGCTTTTTCAGCATAAAAATCTTATACTTGATTATATACGGTAAAACTGTATATACTTGAATCTATTTTGGAAGCAGATGGACAGCCAGTGCAGATGCTTTAACAATGGTCTCACATATTGGCCACATTCTCCCATCAGCAGTCTGGCAGCCACATTCTGCACTGACTGTAGCTCCCTAATCAGGCCCAAAGGCAGCCCCACATAGTGTGCACTGCAGTAATCCAGCCTTGAGGTTACCAATGCCTGGACTACAATGGTAAGGCTATCCCTGTACAGGACATAGCTGTCAACCTTCCCTTTTTTTGCGGGAAATTCCCTTATTCCAACGCTGTTTCCCGCTGCTATCCCGGATTGTTAGATATCCCGTAGACTGTCCCCGGGACATGTGAGACTGCTGACCCCTTATTTTCGAGGCTGCTGATCCCTTATTTTCAAATCTGAAAGTTGACAGCTAAGGTACAGGAATGGCTGTATTGTTGATTTTATGCAGTTCACTGCCATAATATTTTTTCCCTATAATGTTGCTGGCATATAAACATTGCAAATAAGTAAAATAAAAATTCTTCCCTTTTAAGTTGCAAAAGCAGTTTGTCATGTGGCATCAGAAGAAGAGAGGCTGCCTGTCTGAGAAAACAAACAAACTCAAAGACTCCAAACATGTGAAACTAGCTGCAGAGGGGTTTTTGTTGGCTCCTGATCTACATTTGTTGTAAATATAACTGTGATGGAAATCCTGCTGGATCAGCCCTAAGGTCCACCTAGCCTGGCAGCCTTCTTTCCAAGAGGCCACCCAGAAGCCTCCAGGAAGACCACATGAAGGCAACAGGCCTTGCCTCCCACTGTTCTCAAAACTGGCAGGGGAAAATAGCAAACATGTTCAGCGAAGTGAAGAATCAGACGATTGAACAGGGCAATAAAATTGCCAATTACCCATTGCAGGAGGTAACCCAATAATTTGTGAGATGCTGGAGTCTAAGAGGCCTGTGAAGGGTTTGTGTTTTGTCAACAGATTGTTAGAATGCACACAGCGTGTGCTTTGTGGACTATAAGCACGTGTTGTTTATTGACATATGCTGCACACCCTGAAGCATTCAAGTACCAAAACCGCTCTACAAACAGACAAACTGGATGGAAAATAAACTCTACAGGAGAAGCACATTGAATTTTGAAGAACCATTTTAAGATGCACTCCAAGACACAATGGGAGCCACAATATCTGTGTGCACTGATGTAAAATGAAACAGATGACTACTCTGTGAAGTCAAAGGGTGCAGGACCTGTCGCCTTCTAGTTGTTGTTACAGATGATGGAATGAAGGAATTGTAGCCCAGCAACAACTGAAGTGGTACAGCACAACACTTAACCTGGTCTAGTCCAACACTGTTTGCTCTGACTGGTATGACTTCTCAGACAGAAATATTTCCCAGATTGGCTAACTGAGATTTTTTACTTAACTGGCAAGGAGAGAGATATAACCTGGGACCTACTGTGTGACAATCCTATGTTCCGAACTATGGCCCCTCATGCTCATTTGAGAGCTTCCTGGTGCATTATGTAAGTCCTCAACACAGACCTGCAAGCAGTGGAGGCTAGTCCATTAAGTAGGGCAAGTGGGGAACTGCCCCATGAAGCTGAGCTGCTCTCAGCCATCCCCCACCTGCCTGCCTCCTTGATTACAACCAATCCAGGGGTTGGCAATGCATTTTCATCTTCCTCCCCACGAGTTTCATTGTTATCCCTTGAATGGAGGAATGTGTCATTGGCTCTGACTTCACCTACTGCTGGCTTCTGCCCCAACTAATCCCAAGGGACACCAGAAGCCACTACTGCTTACAAACCTGACCCTGTATCTATACTACTCTGCTGTGCCACTTGGGAAAAGCAGCAACAAGGTCTTGGCTGAAGGTGGCAGTGTAGGCATAAGAAACTATGTGTGTCCAGCTTTGCAGAACAAGTGAAAGAGCCCTGGAGGCAGAATGCCACTTACGGTCTTTGAGTGGAGTGTAGCAGTCCAGCTGAACATGCTTTTTAGACGAGAAGCAGCACTTGTGTTCCAGACACAACGACTTGTTGCTCTTTTCCCCAGCTTGGCAAGGCACCACTGCCTGATTTGTTTTGGGTCGACACGCTTTGGGAAATGAAGCAGAAATGCAAGATTTCAGTTCCAAGCCCAGTTTAAACATGTACACACTGAGGCACGGGGCAAAGTTATTCCAGATCACTGCTTCCATTTAGGGTGGCCATGTGTTCCACTTTAAAGAGAACAGTCCTTTAGGTCTCTTCAGTCCAAGTCTGGTTTAAAGACAAAAGACCCTAAGAAGAGAGAGCAAAAGGGTTCTTAGAGTCACCCGTCAACCCTATGGGAAAGATGGTTCTGAATCCATTTTTGTATCTATATCAGGAGTGAAGAACCTTTCACACACACACCCCAGATGTTCCTGGACTACAACTCTGAGCAGCCTAGACTATGCTGGGCGGGACTAATGGGATATGTAGTTTAGCAATGTCCAGAGGACTAGAGGTTTCCCAGCCCTGATCTATGCATACAAATTAGCTCAGTGTCCTCTTTCTATGAGACGTTTCCTTTTTCCGGGGGGGGGGATATGCAAATGGATGATATGTTTTATGTTTTGGACAGTGTTCTCGAAGCTACAAACATGAGTCTGACCAAACTGCGGGAGGCAGTGGAAGACAGGAGTGCCTGGCGTGCTCTGGTCCATGGGGTCACGAAGAGTCGGACACGACTAAACGACTAAACAGCAACATGTTTTATTGGAAATTTGCTGAGAGTTCCTTTTCACTTATGCATCAACTCCATGCAAGGGAGAAAAGGAACAGTAGCAGAGAAAAAAAGCACAGAAAAACACACGGAGGGGCAGTGGCGTAGTGTGGGGGGTGCAGGGGGTGCCGGCTGCACCGGGCGCAACATCTGGGGTTAGGGCAAATCCACGGGTTAGGGGGTGCAAATCCTCAGGTTAAGGGGCGCAAATCCACGGGTTAGGGGGTGCAAATTACTTGCCTTGCCCCGGGTGCTGACAACCCACGCTACGCCGCTGCGGAGGGGTCAGGCATCAACGTGGTGGTTTTGAAAGTATGTTTTTGATTGAGCCCTTTGCTTTGGAGTATCTTAACAAGATTCAGGAGGGCCTTTTTCCTTTGAAGGTTGGAACAAACTGGGCAATCTCCACACACTAATGAGCTGATTATTTCCAAGTGCCACTTTGAAGTTTGCTTCTGCTTTTGGTGGAAACAGCAACACTGCCGCCAAAAAGCAAAAGAGCCATGCAGCAAGATCTGTGCAAGGCCCTTCTTTCATTTATTTAAACAATTTATATACCACTTAACTACAATAGTCTCTAAGCGGTTTGCAAAGGTACTTAATGGGGCTTTGCAATTGCTTCGTTTGTAAAAAGCAGCCCCTACACTGCACAGCAAACTGATTCTGAAATCCACTAGTGGGAGAAAAAGAGGGAACCGAAAGCAGGGTCGCCCTTCTTCTCCTTCAACTTCTTCAGCATCCAGCCACTGCAGCAAGTGTTGCCGACCTTTCGGGAGTCTGTGGGCACATTTGTAAGCAAAGAGAAATGGTCATGGGCACGACACACGTGCAGCTGCTCCCCTATCCAGCCCCCAGCTGTTACTCACTTGAAATTGCCTCCTTGCCACAATCAAACTGGGGGTGGGTGAAAAGCATTCCATTGGCTAAGGAAGGATTGTTGCAAGATTAATTTTAGAGGGGGGATGGAGCCCTGCAGGCACCAGGGAAGTCTGCTGTGGACACCTGCAAGCACATGTGCAGCATGCTGGGGATCCATGCACCACAGCTCAGCAGGAGGAGGAGCAAGGCTTGCCTCGTGCTCCATTGGCCTGCTTAGCCCAACCCCTGTGCTCTTGGAGTATGGCATGAATGGGAGAGAAAGGAAAACCCTGCTTTATTGGCCTGCCCAGCACTGGATTTATGGATTGTATACAAGTCCTACTCAGTGTAAAACCATCAAACATAAAGAGACTAAGTCCTTTAATTTCAATGGGTATACTCTGAGCAGGACCACCACTGGATAACTATGTACATGTCCATGAATATCCACACATATCTCTAAGTCCTTTTGGTTGTTCCACTACCCTCAGGTGGCGGCAGCCTAGGAAAGCTTATTCTCTGTGGCAGCCCTTAAGTTGTGGAATCCCCTCCCGCCAGAAGTGTGTCTGGATTCTTCACTTTGAAGCTTTTACTGAATGCTAAAGATGCCCCTTTTTACCCCAACATTTGACACTTGAGATGTCTATTTTTAAGATGGTCCCCTCTTCTCTCTTTGCAAGTTGAAAACAAACTGTTTTTATGTTGTGTTTTCAATTGTTGTAACATTCTCTGGGATCTTAGGGTGAAGGGTGGGTAACAAACAACAACAGCAGCTACTGCTGCCTTGACTTTTTTCTTTTGCTGTCAATACATTGTTGGGTTACTAGATACAGCACTATGCAAACATTTGATACCTACCATTAATTCTGCATTGGGAGCATCTCAACCCATCCAAAGAACAGCTCAAACTAGTCCTATGCATCAGGAGGGCTTTGAGGGCTTCTCAAATAAGACGACCTTCATGGTCCCTTCCAACTCTACAATTCTATTATTCTAAGATGCTTACAAACCAGTATGGGTGATCCATGTGCAGCTGCAATATGAGAGGAAATGGGGGGTTAATTCCTTTGGACAACCCCTTTTTATTTCCTTTTCCAAACATGAAACGTGGCACTCTGCATAGAACAACACCCCTCAATATAGCTCAACAAAGAGACCTTTCACTGAAGGACCACAGTAACAAACATTTCTAATCCTCTCAAGGACTTGAAGAGGGGGCAATGAAAAATGATGCTACAACAGCACTTACTCACTGGGTTGAAAAAGGTCACCAGCTGTTGAGATACGATCTGTACTTTCGTCCTTGGCTCAGGGGGAGCAACTTCAGTTTCATTTAAATCATCCAAGGTCGGAAATGCAGAACCTGAAAAACACAGAACAATTCAAACTCCTGCACGGCAACTCAAGGGGAAAACTCATTTAAGTACCATAATACAGTTTTCCCACTTAAACTCTCCCCCCCCCGCCCCAATCAAAACACTTTCCCCCACTCAGCTTCTGATCCCCTGTTCTTCAGGTAACTGATGGACTGAGTACAGTGGTGCCTCGCAAGACGAAATTAATTCGTTCCGCGAGTTTTGTCGTCTTGCGATTTTTTTTGTCTTGCGAAGCACTGTGTCGGGAAAGTTTTGGAAAAGCTTCAAAAATCACCAAAGTCTTTAAAAACCTCAAAAAAGGCTACCACACCGCGTTCTATGAGTTGCTCCTCAAAGTCAAGTCGCAACTGTATTAACGGTGTTAAGAAAAAGGAAACAAACTTGCAAGAAAAAGGAAACAAACTTGCGTTTCCGTCTTGCGAAGCAAGCCCATAGGGAAAATCATCTTGCGAAGCAGCTCAAAAAACAAAAAACCCTTTCGTCTAGCGAGTTTTTTGTCTTGCGAGGCATTCGTCTTGCGAGGTACCACTGTACTATGCCCTCTGTCTTAGTGGTGGTTGGAGAATATCAGGTCAGTTCAAAATAAAATCTCACTCACCCATGCTTTGTAAGTATATGAGGGAGCCAATCTGGCACATACAGTGGTACCTTGGTTGTCAAACTTAATCCATTCCGGGAGTCCGTTCGACTCCCAGAACTGTTTGAAAACCAAGGTGTGGCATCTGATTGGTTGCAGGAGCTTCCTGCACTCAAGCAGAAGCCACATCAAATGTTCAGCTTCCAAGAAACGTCTGCAAACCAGAACACTACTTCTGGGTTTGTGGCGTTCGGGAGCTGATTTGTTCGGGAGCCAAGCAGTTTGACAACCAAGGTACCACTGTAAGTCCTGAATAGGTTAGCTGGGGAAAATCAACCTGACCCACCTATGTCTTTCCAGATACTCAGTGCTCCACAAAGGTAGCACTGGTTTTGGGAGGGTGATTGCTGCTATCCCATGAGGATCAGAGACCATCTGGTGCACTCCTAGAGATGTGTGGAAGCTGATGGATTCCTGAATGCTGCAAGAGATTTTCCGGAAGGCAATTCTGCCAAGGTCCTAGTCTCCCTGTGGAATGGTGAGGCATGGCAGGCCATAGACACAACTGCACCCAAATGTCCTCTCTGGTGCTGCGGAAGTTAGGCAACCACCCGATTTACTGAGGAGTTCCAGGCAGCTGGAGACAATTGCATACAAGGCGTATAAGTTTTGCTCTGAAGGAGACTGTACACATGGAAGAGCACATAATTGTGCCTGTGAGGTGGTTAACGTGGAGAAAACAGCCTACTTGGCAACCCATGTACCACTTAGAAAAGCTATTATGCAATGGAAGTGGCAATGATTTACCCTCATCAACCCAGTCTTGGAGCCATCAGATGCCTACCGTGGAAAATAATAATAATAATAATAATAATAATAATAATAATAATAATAATAAAATTTATTTATACCCCACCCTCCCCAGCCAAGACCAGGCTCAGGGTGGCTAACAACCAATAATAAAAACAAGTTGATTGAAATACAACTTAAAAAACAAGATTAAAATATAACATTTAAACATTAAAATGCAGCCTCATCACAGGAGAAGAAAGGAAAAAAGAAAGAGGGGGAGGGAATCAAATTGATTTCAAGCCAAAGGCCAGGTGGGAGAACTCTGTTTTACAGGCCCTGCAGAAAGAAATCAGATCCTGCAGGGACCTGGTCACATGAGACAGAGCATTCCACCAGGCCAGTGTTGAAAAGGCCCTGGCTCTGGTTGCGGCTAATCTAACTTCCTTAGGGCCCGGGACCTCTAGGGTGTTGCTATTTATGGACCTTAAGGTTATCCGTAGGGCATACCGGGAGAGGCGGTCACGTAGGTACGAGGGTCCTAGGCCATAAAGGAAAATCTGCAAGGGCAAAATTATCTGCTTCATATGGACTTGAGTGCTGCTCTTGCTGGCTGTTGAGGGTAAAGTGGTGTGTCTTCAGTGATGTAGGGAAAAAACCACCTTGGGGCCTGGACCCAGGAGGTGGTGCTTCCGCTCTTGGTTGAAACTGGTTATCTTGATATACTCCAGTTCAGGTTCAGGGCCAGTTTGGGCATAGAATCAGCCTTGATCACTCTGATGGGTGACATTTGGGTGAAAGACAGAAGCACCATGAACCTGTTGACTCCCCTAGATGACTCAGTGGGTTGAGATACCACAGACCGCAGTGTATGTCTGCTCTCAGTGAGTTCGTAGTTTGTTTTGCGGTGGCTTCACTACTACTTACAGGGTCTGCTCCGTTGAAAAGTATTGACTGATGGTGCCTTGGACCCCTAGGAGTTGTTGGGTACCACAATTTTGTTTCCAACACTATTTAATATCTACATGAAGCTGCTGTGGAGGTCATTAGAAGGTTTCTGGCAAGATGTCACTCAGTTCCATTTCTCTGTAACATCTCAAATCAGGAGGTCCTAAACTGGTGCCTGGATGCATTTGTGAGCTGGATGCCAGTAAATAATCCTGACTATTTGCAAAATTGCATTGGAGTAATGGAAGCTGGAATCCAACAACTGCCAGAATGAAACATGCTGGCTACTTTTGAGCTAGCTCAGGACTTGTAGCAGCTGTCTACAGCTTTAGACAAGTGCTAGGGCTCTCAATTCATTTCTCAGCTTAGGAAAGTTGGGTATTGTTAGCTGAAAATGACCCAGTAGGCCAACCTTTGAAGCCTAGTGGTCCTACTTAAGCACATAGGCAATACGTTCCCTGGGCTATGGATTGAATTGATACCTACTGTATTCAAAGCATGTATACTTCACCACTGAGTGATGGCACTTTTCAAAGCAGTGATGGGAGTAGTAGGGAGAGGGAGAAGAAGAAATTGATTGGGGGATAAGAACTAATCCAGGCTACCAGTTTGCCCACATGCCATTTAGATCAACAGATACATACAACTAGAGTACAGATTGGATATGGTCAACTAGTGCCTAGCCATTCTGTTAAAAAACCCCCACACACAACACCTTGAATTTTAAAAGTTGGTAGCCTTATAAGTTTCCCCAAGCAATTCCTCTATTGTCAAACATTGCAAGCTACCTTGTGTTTAAGAACTACTCTTTAAAATACTCACTTGGGCCAACAGCATGATACAATACACACAAGCATTTTGCTAAAATCTGGGTCACAGAGATCATCATCAGTATTACTTCTGCAATGAAAAACAAATAATGTAAACTCCAGCAAGCCTTCACCTGCTTATTGAGGGAAGAAGCCTCAAAAGTCTTGTCTTACTTGGATCACTTTTGCATGGGGCAACACAATCATTTTGCATGGGAACCCCAGATCAATTCCACATGTTAAAAAAACACTTTGTAGAATCACACTTGATGTCAGGGACTGGTTGGGTGCAGAGGATTGGTGGGAGGAACTAGCTGGGGAACCCCCAAGGGAAGAAGGCTGAGAGCTCAGGGATTGGTGGTGGGACGATGGAGTGGTCAGAGGGAGAAGAGGGAGTAGACTGGGAAGAGGAGACATCAGAAGCTGAAGAGGTAACAGGGTTTAGTGAGCTGGGAGAGTCTATGGCAGAGAGAAGTCCAGAATCAGAAACGAAAGTTGAAGTAGGAGAGGAGGGAGGCCAAGAAGCAGAGATGAGTCTGGCTGGTGAAGAGTCACAGGTGTTTCCCCTTCCTGCTGCAACAAGCTCTCCTCCCTCCTTGTACCGCAGAACCAAGAGAGGCATGTAGAGTGTGGACAAGGTTAGCATCACACAGTTTCAGTCTTGCATTCCTTGGGGGAAATCCTGGAGAGGTGGGGACTTAGGCAGCTGTGGGAAGGTGGGGACCTTCAGTCTCCGCAACTGCTTCATGGGGGCAAGCTGTACCAAAAAGGAGTTGCTGTGCTCATTAGGCCCGGCACTCCTGTGGAGATCCTGTTTTTGCTGATAAAGAGTTAACTCCACTTGCTTCGTGTGCTTTACCGCTGACTCACTCCAGGCACTTGCCAACTCAGTTGATGCTACTGAGTCCAGCAAATCTCTCAACTCCATAAATTTCATTTCAGACCATGGAAGGGTCATCGGATGAAAGTTGGATGAGGGTGAGTTAGTGTGGCAGTTATGAGTTAAGACCAGGTTTGAGGAACCTGTGGCCCTCCAGTTGCTCTTGAACTCCCATCATTCATGACCATTTGCCATGGTGGCTTGGGGCTGGTGGGAACTTAGAATCGTAGAGTTGGAAGGGACCACAAGAGTCATCTAGTCCAACCCTCTGCAATGCAACAACTGGAGCCCAACAACACCTGGAGGGCCCCAGGCTCCACATCTTTAGTTTAGACTTAGCTGGGGAAGATAACCAAGTTTACAGTGGGTGGCCTTGGCCCAGTCTTCCTCTCTCAGGCATTGCACTTAACAGGGGGTTTTTGAGAATGTATTGGGGTGCATCTAAGTACAGTGGTCTGAGCTCAATGGAATAAAATAGGCAACAAAGGTGAATAACAAAAATCATGCTGCCACCTGATTGAAGAAACCTTAGCTGATTGAACTTTACTCAAGTAGCTAGATTGGATTTGCATAGATTCTCACCTAAGTAAAACAAGCAGACTCTCCCCATAATTTTGTCTTTAAATAAATAACACATCCCAGCAGATACCCAAAATTCATTACCTCATGTGTCAGGATGGTGCCCACTACCTCCAGGTGTTAGGGAGGTAGGTCTGATAATGCTCACCACCTGTAGGTTCTGAAAGTTTATATTTATTTTTTTTAAAAAAATGTTTAATCTGCTGCCCTAGTAGCCTCTCACTTCAACGTTAGTAATATGTTAATCAAATTAAATTGATGCATCAAATCAGCTCTGGGTTTAACCAGCAAACCCTGATTGACTTTTAGCCAGAAATGGGACATTCCCAATGGTAGAAACCTTTAGTGCAGATCTTAACTTTCCAGAGAACAGTGCAAATCTTGCTTACTTTAAACTGGGGTGCAGGACCTTAATATTACTAAGCAAACTAAGGGCATCCTAATTCATACTAACTGCAGAGACATGGATGGAGAAGAAACAAATCACCTAACCTAATACAGGGTTATGATAAAACTGATAAATAAAACTCACAGTAAGGTTAAAGTAGATTCATTTAACCTTAGCTACTGAGAGATCTCCAGCCACCCTTTCTAGCTTTTAGAAAAGAATCAATTGTCCTATGGCTCAACTGAAGTTACATACATTTCTGTATTTTGAGGTCACTGCACACTTGTCAACTTGCAGACTCTTTAAGGAAATGGTTCAGTGCTGTAGCTATGGGGATCTCTATTATGACTTACACGCTTGGTAATGACTTCCAGAGAGGTGGCTATTTTAACCAGTTTGGATATTTTAAAGATCATGATTTGTTGTTGAATGAAATTATGCCACAAGTCTTTGAGGTCTCAAATGACTCTTAAAAGGTTACCAGATTTTTTTCAAAGAATCAAAGAAGAGGAAAAAAAGTTATTTTTAAAAGTTGTTGTTTTTTTAAAAAAGAAGTAATCTCTTCTGTGATCTCCTCTGTCACATGGCCTTCCTATGGGCCCCGGCCTGCTCTCTTGGAGCACTAGCCGCCATGGAGTAGGCTCGGGTCAGGCCTGGGCTCGGCCATGTGTCCTTGCCCTCCCAGGGCTCTCCTCCTTAGCAGAGGCAGCAGCGCAGCCAGGTCAGGGCTCTCCCCTTTTTTCTCCTTCCTCTTTCTCTCTCTCTTCCTTCTCCTCTCCTCCTTCTACCTGCGTCGGCTCCAGGGTTTCTGTGGCCCCAGAGCACCGCTGGGCAGTCAGCCGGGTGGCTGGGTGCTCTTGTTCCTGGCTCAATTTGGGTTGGGGGGGGGTTTCAACGGTTCCCCCAGTTGACGTACCAAGCGTCTCTGGTTCCACCTCAGCAGTGGTGGAGCAGCAGCAGTTTCAGCAGCCCAGAACCAGCCTGGTAGTGCAGTTGGCTCTGGCTGGCTTCAGGAGCTGCTCGCTGCCATGGCACCCGCCATTTTGCCTCACCAGAAGTCCCCATATGATGTGTCTTGTGTCGTTGAACCAATCACACAACATTCATTCCCTACTAATTAATCTACAACACTTAAAATATAAATCCGGGGACATTAAATGAAATCTGGGGACATTCCGGGGACAGATTTTGTCCGGGGACAGATTTGTAAATCCAGGGACTGTGCCCGAGAAATGAGGACATCTGGTAACCATATCTTAGGCATTTGTCATGCACCACCATGACTTGGGATCAAGAAAATGTAACATTACATAGCCAGGGATATGAGAGAAATGAAACAGAACAAACTCCTAGTGATCGCTAGCTAGGAAGGGGCAAAAAGTGCCTAAGGTTGTGTTACTTTCACTGGGAAAAAGTGGAAGAACCTCTTACAACCAAGAGGTTGAGAAGAACTCAAGGCGTTAAGTGGCTGAAGCTTCTCTTCTGCCACCACCTCCCCCCCCCCCCGGCCATCCGAAGCTCAGAATCAGGAATATTAACATGGCACTTTTGCTTATGTGTAATTTGGGGATATGTCCTTGGGTTGTGTTTCAATTTACCATTCTTCCGTATCTGATTTCTGTTCAAGATTAGGATACCAGCTGTGTGATAGGCCTCTTGAAACAGCTCAAGGCTATAGGCTTCTGGCACAACTAATCCAACCCTAAATCCTCCAGATAATGCGTACATGCGTTGGCGGTATAAGGCCAAGGCTGCATTCGGTAGCCAGCAAATTGTGGCCTTGGATTTCAGAAGTGAGGAGCTTTCTCCAGTTTTGAGTCTCTTTACTAATTTGACTACAACCTCTTTATGATGTACCAGGATCTCTTAACTACATGCGTATAGTGTGAATAATTGTCAGGTTGACTTGAGGCAATAAAACAATTTACTTTGAACTGTGTGAGCAAAAAGATTTTTCCACTGTCAACTCTAAAACATCTGAAAACAGAAAAGGGCAAAGATTCTGAAGCTCTGCTGTGTCACTCTGCTAGTGACACTGGTATAGGTGTGATCTTTGCGCAGATAAAAGACAGACACCTTGAGTTTCAGAAGCACTATTGGCCACAAGACTTCATTCCTTTCTTGTTTTGCAGCCTCTAATTTTGGGACAGGCCACACCACTTAAAGCAATTATGAAGATAATTTAAAGGATAAAAAGTGGTTTCTTTCCATCACAACATAAGGAATGGTAGGGAAAGAGACAAGATGAAAAACTTCATCCTGAGGATTAAGCAGGGCTATTGACTGTTTGGCTCCAAAGCACCCTCTCCGATTGCATGGAGCCCGGACAGCCCCGTGGTTTTCCACGGATCTGAGGGCAATGAAACAATCGCTGAGACAGCTAGAGCGCCGGTGGCGGACACCGTATTTTTCGCTCCATAGGATGCACCTGACCAAAAGACGCACCAAGTTTTTAGAGAAGGAAAACAAGGAGAGAAAAAATCTGACTCAAATGTTGTACTCCTGTCCACTTTGCTGCTTTAAAGCAAGCCACGGTATATAATGAAGAGAATGGAAAAAGGAAAGACATTCCATTATAATGTAGCTGTTTTCATTATCACTGGGAAGTCAGTATTGGCAGCAGTCACGAAAACTAAAATTTGAGCATTTTACTGTTATTAATCAAGAATATTTATAGTCAAGGAGAGAAACCAGGGCTGTGCAAATGAGAAGTGCTTGGAGTATGGAGGAACAGCAAAGAGCTCAAATGATTGCGCTCCAGTTCCTAAATCTCTGAAGTTTTCTCAAACTTCAAACTTCAAACTGGTTGTTTTGAAAGGAAGATTCAAAATGGAGTGACTGAGCAAAGAACAGAGGAAAAGAGGGCAGATTATTAGCTTCCATTCAATAACAAGAGAACACAATGTTTTTGGGTTGGTATAGGTGGACTGTACTTGTAAGAATTTGTATAATGAATTATAGATTTGGAGTGGAATATCAGTGCCTCTTTTCAGCAATAAAGATTAGCTGCTAGGAACATGGTCCACACACAAACACACAGGATGTCTGGTTATAGTTGTGCAGTTTAAACTGTTCCTGAGCCAGATGCCTGCTCGGTTTTAGCTGAGCTCACTATTACTGGTTTGTGGAGATGCTTTGCATGTATTTATGACTATTTCTGCAAAACTGCTACTTGAAGAAATCCACAAACTTAATGTTTTTAAACTTCAAATGGAGCTCAGAATCCAGTTAGG